ATATCTAAACGGCAGGGCATTTCCTCAAATTTTTTTGTCTTTTGTGCATAAACACAAAAAAAAAAAAAAAAAAAAGTCAGTACGGTCAGTCAAAAGCGATGGTGAGAGTATTTTTTAGGCTGAATTTTCTCTTAGAATTTAACTGTTCAATAAAAAAAAAAAATCAATGTCATGGAAGATGGAACACTAATTTCTACTTATTATGAAGACTTTGAAGTTTGAACTAACGGAGTACTTTGAGGATAGAGAAATGTTAGCCTTTGGGCCGAATTAAATATTTGGATTCTGTGGATTAATTAAATTTAATAGAATTTTATTTGATATTTGCTTAGATTATTAGATCTTTTAGTTAAGTTTTTATATTGCTAGAAAGTATATATATTTATATATAAATATTTCATTGGCTTTATGCATCATGTTATTAGAGAAATATAGGACAAAAGAAAATGATTGAAAGATTGAGTTTATGTTTCTTTATTTTGTTTTAGATTTTGTTTGAGGTTATTTTTTTCCTACTTCTCAAAGTAATTTTTTAGTAAAAAAATAATTTTTTTATTCTAAAAAGCTGCTTTAAGATGCAAGAAAAATGCCATCCGAATTAAAGTCTTAGGCTTCGTTTGGGACGGTTTTCTTGCTGCTTTCTAAAATAATTTTTTAGCACAAAAATTTTTAATTTAAGAAATTTTATATTAAAAAGTTGTTTTAGAAAGTAACAAAAAAATTATCCCAATCCATATGAACATCGAATACATAGCGAAGAAGTGTTATGTGTGTGTATATATCTTACTGCATTCATATATTCAATTATGACTGCTTACTGCATTCATATATTTTCAATTATGGCTGCATTTTTCGTATAAATAATTAGTTTCCATGGCGTTCAAGTTAGTCTATTGATAATATTTTAAACTCTGCATGATAATCTAAAATAGAATTCTGAAGGAGCAAGCTGTGGTTCCTGCAAAATTGTTATGAGTGGTGATGATCACACTTATGGCTGCAAATGAACTAATATGCTTGTGGCTATATTTGAATAAAATTCATTCTTGATTATTTTATTAAGTAATTAATTAAATTCAAATATTTTTATGAATATTTTATTGATATATAAATAATTTTGATTAGCTTGTTGTTCAATTTGCTTATGATAATGAAGAATATTATTTAAAGTTAATGAAAAAAATTATTAAGAATCTTGATTAATGTTTAATAATATATCTATTTGGAAATCAATTATAAATGTATTGAATATTTGATTATATGAGCGTCTTTTTTTCTATATTAGTTTATTTTTATTTATAGTCATATGCTATTTTCTTATGTTGTTAAAATATTTATTTGTTTAATAGTTCATTTAATTAAAATTTAATTTTTAAGCCTAATATCAACATATTGAATATTAGTAGACTAGGCAAAATTTCTTTAGTCAACTATTATACTGTTTGATGGTTTCGTTCGTTAATAAGCTCTTTTAGTTAGCTAACGAGTTAAATTTTTTTTTTTTTTTGGAACGGGTATCCATCCATTGTGACCCCTGAAAAGACGCTTGGCAGCGTGACTATTCCTCGGCTAACTTAGAAGAGACACTCATCTCAGAAATCTCCGGGCCCGCACTTGATTGAGTTCCACTTAAGAGGCATTGTTGCTTGAGGGGAATTGAGCATGGGTTAGGGGGTTCTCAATCGCACTTGTACACCAACAAAGTTAAGCAAAGGAGGGTGAGTTGAGCTCATGTTAAGTTATTATGTTAAAAAAAGTCATAATTATAAATGAACTTAACTTGACTCAAATACAAATATTTGAAATAAGTTAGAGTCTGTTTTGGAACGGGTATCCATCCATTGTGACCCCCGAAAAGACGCTTGGCAGCATGACTATTCCTCGGCTAACTTAGAAGAGACACTCATCTCAGAAATCTCCGGGCTCGCACTTGATTGAGTCTCACTTAAGAGGCATTGTTGCTTAAGGGGAATTGAGCATGGATTAGAGGGTTCTCAATCGCACTCGTACACCAACAAAGTTAAGCAAAGGAGGATGAGTTGAGCTCATGTTAAGTTATTATGTTAAAAAAAGTCATAATTATAAATGAACTTAACTTGACTCAAATACAAATATTTGAAATAAGTTAGAGTCTGGCAAATGAGCTCGAGCTCAAGCAAATTTTGCTGGGCTCGACCCTTTTCATTTGCAATCCTATTCACACTAAGTTGCTATTAGTAAAAATCATTTAAATATATATCAAGTTTGGAAGAAGCTGGCAGTATTCCCGTGGATTAGGCGGCCTAAAATCTTTCTTCCTGTTCTTGACTGTATAGTGGAGCCGTGACTGCTATGATTAAAGTTAATTGGGGATTTTCTTCATGAAATGCTCGTGAAGTCGTTAGCTTAGTATACATATATACTAATAGGTCAGAAAAAAGGTACAGTTCATATTAGCCGTTTTGTTATTCTTCTCGTAATTAATTTACTGCCTTATTTTCAATCCTTGCATAATCTTTGTTGTGATTCCTTTCAAACGAATTAATTATTTTGTGCGGACACGGGACGGTATCTGGAGATGAATGAGAGCGTGCCATGTTATTTTTTTGTTGTGTACTGCTCGGTAACGGATGATGTGGCACGCTCTCATTCGTCTCCAGACGGTCCGGTGACCGCACAAAATAATTTCTCTTTCAAATGGACAAATTCTATAAAAACCCTCGCCTAGATGGATATTGACAATATTCTGATATAAATTACGCGTGAATGGACTTAAAATTATTTTTTAAAAAAATTAATATATTGCAAATAAGACTTCGTTCGGGATACATTTTTATTGCTTCTTAAAGTAATTTTTTTAGAATAAAAATTTTAAAAGTCGCCTCAAACGAAACCTAATTCATATATACTAAGTTCAAAAACCATATCCAAATACATCCTAATTAATGTGTAACATATTTTTTCAAAGTCAAGTTGGCTCAATCTCTCATATATAGACTCTTGCATTAAACTGAATTTACATGCATACCACTTTATACTATTCAATTTACATATTTAACACTTGAAACTTTAATATTACATCATACCACCCATAGTTCACTTTTATATCAAATATGAGTGGTAGAAATGAAATATGTGAGTGGTAGGAAAGGAATATAAGTGGTATATTTGATATTAAAATAACATAGGGTGGTATGCATGTAATATTAAAATTTTAGGTGTTAGATATGTAAATAGGATGTTACAAAGTGGTATGTATGTAAATTTCCCTTGAATTAATTCCTTACTTGAGAAAGATAAATCTATTTATTGTCTTTTTTCTCATCCACGAACTAAAGATTTTTAATTTGATGAAAAAAAGAGAGCAAAATATAGAGTAAGATCTTCACGGCAAGCTAAGCAAGTAATTAATTAGGTCAAAGTTCAAAGCCCAAGTCAAACTAATTTGACCGTTGGCTTTCCCCATCCGACCCTAGTACACCAAAGACCGTCGACGGATTCCAACATCAATAATTAGTATTTAGAAGACGAAGACTTCTCAGGTTCTTCTACTTTTGACAAATGAGACGAAAGAATTTAAACACCCAAACCTCTTCTATATACATGGCAGACTTACATACAACAATACTCTACAAGATCAACAAGAAATCAGAAAACTAAGTCATGGCGGGAGGCAGTGGGTCGAAGAAGGTTCAAGCACGAGGATTGGCTCATGGCGGTGGCGCAGCCTACGCTGCCACCACCATCACCACCGCCGAAGGAGAAGAGCTGACTGTTTCGGAGTTCATTTCACGCTTAGGTACTATTACTGTTACTGATATCTCTATCTCCCTCCGTCTTTTGCATGTTCTGTGTAACCCTTCAAATATTTGCATGTTTTGGTTGCAGACGAGGCAGGAAGGAGAAGGCTTGAGAGTATGAATCAGAAGCTGAGGGATTTGGAGAATCAGATGGAGGCGTTGGAGATGGAGATGAGCAAGGCGAATGAATGCTGTTGAACGGAGTTTAGGAGGAATTTGTAATCTATGATATGAACTGTATGTTGTTAGGTTGTGGTAGTCTTTGATTTGCAGGTTAGAATTATATATATAAATATATATATACGACGTAGGCGTTATTCAGAGGTTAATTAGAGAAAGAAAGTGTTGGGTGGGGGAGAGAATGATTGAATTTTCCATCATAATTGATGTTGTCAAGTACTATATTAAATTATGATATTTGAAATTTTAAAAATTAATTTGGGGACTGTACAAACACGGTTACAGTAAATTATAGGTGCAATGGATGGTTGGTATAAATCGGAATTCTAATGACCAAAAAAAGTAAGATCTTAATTAAGTACAGAGAAAAACTTTTTAAATAAATTTTAATTTTAGTTATGATGGAAGAAAGTATCTCACTGAGATTATTCCAAAGATATTGAATCAGTTGGATTCAAGCAAATTTGGCCATTAAAATAGCAAAAAAATACTAAATAGTTTCTGAAGTGAACGCCACACTACTTTTTTCAAAGCTCAAGCTTGAATGCTTGCTCGAGCTTAAGCAGAGCTCATATATTGGACTTAAGCAAGAGTTGTCAGTCTATTAGTAACTTGAATTGAGATCCTAAGCTTAAGGTCGGCAATAAAGTGTTTGAAGATGAAGAAGAGGAAGTCATAATAAGAGCTCGATGCAGGAGGTAATGACATCGTTTGAAAAAGATGCAGGGGAAGTCATGGTGTGTGGTGTTTTAAGAAGAAGAAGAGGAAGTTACAATAGGTTTAGAGGTGCAAGGATAAGAGGAAATTAAGATGGAACATACTGTTTTAAATCGAGTAAAAATAGGATCTAAAATAAAGTTGGGGGAAAATAGGATTTTATCTTGCATGTTTGCAAACCAACAAGCTAAGCCAAAAGCCAAGTCAAGTTTGAATGTGAACTTATATGCTATTTGAACTATAGTTTGAGCTCGGGCTCAAGCCTCAAGCTCACAGCACGCTGCTTTATGAGCTTTAATTTATGAGCATCTTTAAAAATGGAGATAGAGGTAGCTTACGAGTTGGCTTTATTCACTTAAAACCCTAATCATGATAACCATCTACAAAAAGCTCTCGATGGTAATATATACTTTAGACTGTGGATCACGATGACATCACTCTCTTCTATGTAATCCATTGGGAAATTTTTGATGATTTAAACTTCTTGAAGTCATTAAAAGCTTTTCAAGTGGCAAAGCATGATGTACTTATAAAATTGGATTACTCTCTACAATAAGAACATTTCACAAGAAAAATCATAAAATATGTGTATGTGTGGATGAACACTCTTGGAATTATTTAAATTATATAAATCGTGTTCTTCTAAATTTTGGATAGATTATTTAGTTTCCTCAAATATGAAATATCAATTAAGCTATTGAGTTAAGATTTATATTTGAAAATGAGTTGGAGACTTGCATACCGAGCCAACTTTATCCCTCATTTGGTTTTACACTCCTTAGTAAGTGTTGCCAAATTTGAAGGTTCAAGTAGGATTGAGTAGCCCAAGCAATTTGTGGCTCCAAAGATATTTGGTTGCTTTAATCATGGTGAAATAAATTTAAAGACTAGGTGACTCTATGTTGATACCTTATAATTCCATGCTATTAAAATATACACTTGCATTATCACATTGGAATTATCGATTGAAAATCGCTGTCTTTTATATCACATTTTGCGCCGGTAATGCGCCGGAACGTGCACCAGAATGTTTTCCGGCGCATTACAAAACGTCGAAAGACATTTAGCGACGCACGCCAAATCGGCACAGGAAAATCCGACGGAAATGCGGCTGAAACCGAGGATTTCCGTTGGATATTAGAGTATACCGGCGGATACTGTCCGCCTGTAACAGCGTGTTTTCCTGTAGTGTTGATAATATTGAAAAACTTGTTTGTGTTTGACTAAACACAATATTCTTATGTACCTTAACAATCACTCTCTAATATAAAATCTCTCCATATCAGTTAGCAATCCCTATCAAGCACAAGTTTTTCGCTCCTATACTCAAAATTGCTCCTATACTCAAAATTTTGAGTAAAAAATAAGTCTAATCGCTATTGTATTATACCAAATTTTAAACAACTTCAGTTTTACACTTCAAAATATTTGATATTTGAGTCGAAGACTTGTTTACATTGAGTGGTTCATGTGGCTTGTTATCCTATTAGTCTTGATTATTTTTGTTGTGCTCGATTCAGACTTAAGAGTAAGTGACTTCTATAACACATCTATATGGTTGAGTAAAGAGATCTTAATTTATGAAACTTGATGATGTTGATGAATTTTTATTTAAAAAGTCATGATTCATATGGAAAACTTTCTCATAAAAGAAATTATTATATATACAAGAGCATTAATATAATTTATATCAACAACAACAACATCATCATCAAGCCTTTGCTCCACTACGTGGGGCCCTACATGAATCCTTTTTTTCACCATTGTGTTATGTTAAAACTTAAAAGTCAAATTCTCATTTAAATCTAATAAATAAAGAATATTTATAATATTTTCTAACCAAGTCTTTTTAAGTCTGCCTCTACCTTTCTTAACATAAGCCAAATGACAAATCTAATGCCTCAACTTTCCTAACAGGGTCATCGAAAGGCCTCCGTTTAATATGATTTATATCAATTAATTAAAAAATAAATGATTGGCTCTCAATAATAAACTTACCTTTATTGAGTTAAGAAAACTAATTACCTACTTAACACCCAAAATTTATCCATTTACAAAATAATCACTCATGTAATTTCTTTTAATTATCAAACCCATACATTTGCGGATATTATAATCAAATAATTATGAATTTAATAAAAATAATTAATATGAGTTGAGATTTTATAATAATTTTAATATTTCGGTGATTATTTTAAAAATAAAGCATGAATATTAATTTTATAAATAATTAAAATTAGAATTTTATACATAATTGCCTTAGCAAATTCTACCACGTGAGGGAGATACATAAACAAAATTAGTACATTTTTTATCTTCAATTATAAATTTTATTAAGGCTTTTTTATTTAGTTATTATTTGTTTATTACTTAAAAAAATTTATGATAGAAAATTAACAGCTTTTAACAAATTATTTCATCTGTAATAATTTTATAATTTTTTTTTTATAAAAAAATTTAGCCATTTCAAATGAATCTTAAATTAAAAGTGATTATAATATAGTATTAAATATGAAAAAAAGTTATCTCAACAAAGGTATGAGATTAAGAAGAAAATTCTTATGCAATTTTTTTTGTTAATTCTAATCCAACAAATATAATTAATTTATCCCGAAATTCAGCTAAATTAAACGGAGCCCAAAAGGCCAAAAGGGCACAGTTTTTGTTTCGGTTCCGCACGCTCGTCGCGGTTTCTGGTGCTGCGGTAATTTACTGCTCGGTCTCGGCGAAGGTGAAAGGCTCTCCACAACTCCCCGGTCTCGTCTACCAACTACCAGAAAGCGACTCATTTTCCATCTTCTCCTTCTATCCTTGCTTCAGATCTGCTGCATCTTGCCTTTGTATAAGTTCGTTATTCCCTTCGTAGATTACCTCTTTATGAAGACTCGCCGCTTGGGGTAACTGTGAGCGACGTGGGGGGGCAAGAGAGGAGGAGAAAGGATTTCATTTCCGTTGCAAGTAGGCTCAGCATTACAGTCTCTGATTAATTTTACTGGCTAAATCGTTTGGTTTCCCTTGATTTGGTCTTTAAACTGGTTTTTTGAGCGAACTCAGAGGAAGATGGTAGAATCGGGTCCCTTAACTCCCGGCCAGGTGACGATCTCTTTCCTTTTTATTTGAATGTAGATTTGCAAATTTTGTGTCAAAATTGTTTTTTTGATTTACGTCAGAAGTTGGATCTACTGTCCATTTCAACGCTTAGCTTAGGAGCGTTAGGTCTAGGACAAGCTCATGATTTGGGTGTCCGGTTTGTTTATGAGGGGTATGAAATATAATGTTGTAGAAGAGAATGGAAGGCTGAGTTAGTGCAGATGTTACTATGGCAAAATGCCATGCATTGTGCTAATCTTCACTTTGTGGAGAAACCCATAACTAGAAAAGAAAAAAATGCATTGATGGAAATTACTCTCGGCTGTAATGAAATTGGTATATCCATAATTAGTTTCTTAAGTACAATTAATAACAAGGTGGTAGTTGTTCCAATGCCTAGGAGTTCAGCTTGGGAGATTCTAAAGTCCTCTATTCCTGGAATGTTGCTCCTATAGTTTTGTTAGTATTTGACAGATAGAGCAGCTATTATGAGGGTGTACACAAGTTCAGTATGATAAATGATTTTTGATAAACTTATTAAAAAACGAATTAATGAAGTGACGATAAGGAAGGAGGATGCAACCAGCCGAAGAAGTCATGATATAATCAGTGTAGTTGGTAATTGAACTCTCAGAAATTGCAAGTGAAGATAGAAATGACTAAGCGCAATAGAAATAGGCTATGTTTTGCTTAATAAGTTGAAGGATAGACTGATTTAAAGGAAGTCGGCGGTGGTGGGAAACCAGTCTTGCCTACCATAATTTGTGTGGTTTTGCCCCATCAAAACTGAGACGAGCTATTATTACGATAGCTGAGTAAAGCACTATGTGGATTGAGGCATTGCTATTCAGCTCAAATTTTGTCACTGTACTTCATAGCTAATGTGAGCTGCTCTTCGACAATTTAGTATTTGGCCCAAAGTGTTACCTTTCTTTTGTTTATTCTTTCTCTAAACTGAGCCAATGCATGCTCTTTCCCTAACATTGAGTTTAGCGAGTTTTGTGTAGAGGGTGGGTTTATGGATGTGATGTTTATGAATTTCTGTGGGTAACCTGATTATGATAAAAAAATTTTATGTGCAAGGTTAACATTGGCAAAGTAAAAGATAAACATATATAAGGCTTGGTTCATTTTACTTTTTCATGCTTACTAATGGTTTTGTTTGTTTCAAATGGTAGTAGTTACTAGTTACTAGTATTAGTTTTTATACGAAAAATGCATTCAACACGCTAAAAACATCTCTCCAACAAAAGCTTACCAATATATGTTTGGCGTTGGTTGTGTATTCATTCACATCTTATCCAATACCAATATGTTGCCATCCACAGGATTAGACTTATTCGTATATGCTTGTTTCGATGGATGTCTTGTGAAAGGACATAAATGCATCCGTTTATTATCTTCTTGATTATGTGAACTTTGTGACTCTCTGAACATACTGCCATGGGCCAATGTATTCCATGGAATCACCTTTCATTTTAGCATATGTCCAAAAATGAATCTACAATCATTGTAAGTTCCTTAGATTATTGGGTTTGTTAATCTATTTGTGAAATCTAAATAACACATGGTAAGCGATGACGACATCATCACCACGACCCATTATCGTCGCCGTCGCTTGCTGTCACTGCCCGCCATTGTCACCGCCATCACCTGCCCCTTGCCATCTTGTTGCATTTCAGTGATCTTAGGCATTGATTTGCCCCTTGCCATCTTGTTGCATTTCAGTGATCTTAGGCATTGATTTTTTTCCTTTGGCCACATCTACTCTTTGCTCATTCTGCACAGGCCGCAGTGGTGTTCTCATAATCAAACTCTTTTTCTGGACCACTTTTGTGTGTTGCTTGTTCGGTGTTGAGGTGGTGGTGATGATCTCATTTATCAAATTTTTTGATTGGGCCGTTAATTGGTGTGCCATTAATTGCAAAATATTTGGATATGTAAACAGTTATTTGATTATTTCTATTTGAAGAACTTAAGAAATATTACTAAAACTGAAACCAAGGTCCACAATTGAGTAATGCAACTGTTGAAAGTGCGTAATAAAAATGCCGATACTGCAGAATTGTGTATCAAACCTAACAAAAGTTTAAAAACCAAAACACCTTTGCATTGTCTGAGTGCAATAGTAATCTACATTTTAAAACCTTTTGTATAAAGGCTTCTTTTAAATGCTCAGTACAGTACGTCTGATTCTAGACGATTTCAATTCTTGAGCAATTGAAGCAACTGAATTGTTTATGTAGGTTTCTTTTATGCTGGGCATTATCCCTATATTTATATCATGGCTTTACTCGGAGACCTTGGAGTACAGGAAATCATTCTTCCCTTCAAAAATGTAAGTTTTCCTTTGTGAATCAATTAAACTCATCTGCTTTTGAAGTTTTGGATCTTTGAAATAGCTTGGGAATGATTTCTCTATCACTTTAGTAGCTTTACAATGTAGTAATGCGAAACATAATTTTGGGTTAATTTTCCTTTTTTATTTTCTTGAATATGCCGTTATTGTGCAACTGTTCTCCCTTTACAGACAGATATTCAGTTTTTGTAGTGATTTATTCTTTCCTTAGTACCTTGTAGATGAGAATTGAATGTTTATCTTAATAGACTTGGCGTTAAAGCAGGAATGTGATTTTGGAAGCCCCTTAGGTAGATATTCACAGAAACCAATGAAGAGAAGATTTATTTACTCGTATACATCCTGCACTTACTACCTTGCAGAAACTTGCTATATGTTGGTTCACACTAACCCAACGTTTAAAATTGCGTATTCGGGTATTGATGCGTTTTTTGTTCGTGAGGCGAGGCGTAAGCCTTAAGGCGTTTTGAGGCGTAAGACTCAAAATCAAAAAATTGCGTAAACATAAAATAATAAATTTTGTATATACTAATTAGTAAATAATATATAAAACATAAAAATGCTACTACCACATCTTTGAGAATAAATAAGGGAGACATATCACATAAGAACTCACTAGTCAGTAGTCATCAACACTGTCATCACTCATCAGTCATCACTCATCGCTAAGAGGGTCTTCATTTGAATCATCATTATGATGAACTGCTCTCTCCTCTTCCCCCTGTCCTATAGAGTCCAATATCTCCCAATTAGCTTCTTCTTCCTCATTACTAGTTATCTTCCTCTTCCCTAAATATTTTTGAACAATATCATAATGAATAATAGTGTAATACATTAATAAAAGTTTAAGCAAAGAAAACTATATTATTTATATACCTTTTTTGATTTGTTCTTGAGTTGTGGTGGATGTGGATGCTTTAAAACCATCAAAGAAATCAACATTTAAATCTTCATCTTGTAATTCAGATGGCATCACTTCAACTTCATCATCTACAAACCACTCATCATCAGATGCCACATCATCGCAAAACAAAGGATCTTCATCATCCATTAATCCCTTTTTCTTCAAATTTCTATCTCTGAGTCTCCTATTGTACATAATGTACACCAGTGAGTTCATCCTCAATGTCGACAAGCGATTTCTCCTCTTTGTATGTACTTGATTGTAGGTACTCCAATTTCTTTCACAGCCAGATGAAGAGCATGTCAAGCCCAAAACTTTCACAGCAAAATGTTGTAATTCTGGAGTCCCATCACCAAATTGAATCCACCACTCAACTGGAGATCGTTTGGCAATTGTATCTTTTGCTTGTTGTAATCCAAAAAAATCTTCTTTGTTCATAAAATGTACCAATTGCAAGTCAGCATTTGATCTTTCAGTTGCATCACTTATTAGACGATCCATGCAATGATATAATCCCAACTTTATTTCAGGGTTTGTAGACTTGTTCTCTGCATATTGATACTGAGGGTTTAGGTAGTAGCCAGCGGCATGCAAGTGTCGGTGAAGCTGTAGTTCCCACCTATCATCAATAATATTCCAAATTTCCCTAAAGCTTCCCTCACTGCCTCCTAAGTTGGAGGCAATCATCTCTTTGGCTTCATCCATAGCATTGTAGATGAAACCCATTGCAGGCTTCTTCTCAGCATCCACCATCCTTAAAACATGAACCAAAGGTCTAGTGGTTGTAATGGCATATAAGACACTTTGCCAAAATCTGTCATTTAAAACAATCTTTCTAATCTCTTTTCCCTCAGCCTTCTTCGCCCAAGCACAACTCAACCACTGTGTAGATGTGAACATAGCCTCTAAAGGTTGTCTGGCATCCAGCATGCTCTCTAAGGTCAAGTATGCGGTGGCAAATCTTGTTGCGGCTGGCCTTAGAATTTCTTTCTTCGAAAACTTTCTCATAAGAGCTAGAATCCAAGAGTGGTTGTAAATAAACTTGGTTATTTTTTTGGCTTTAGTGAGTGCATTTTTATGTTGAGGTAGATCCCCAAGCTTCTCAAGAATCAGATCTATGCAATGTGCAGCACATGGAGTCCAATACAAATGTTTCCTCTTCTCCATAAGTTTATTACCTGCAGCCTTATAAGAACTTGCATTATCTGTCACAATTTGTACAACCAAATGTTCTCCAATCTCTTCAACAATGCTATCTAATAATCTAAATATGAACTCAGCATCTTTGACCTGGTCAGATGCTTCAATTGACCTTAAAAACACAGTACCATAAGGATTATTAATGAGGATGTTGATCAGACTTCTATGTTTGATATCAGACCACCCATCTGACATAATTGTTACTCCTGTTTGGGCCCAAGTCTTCTTAATTTCTTCAATGCTTTTATCAGTGCTTTCCAACTCCTTCAAAATCCATGTTCTTAAATCATACATGGTTGGAGGTTTGAACCCTCTCCCAAATGCTCCAACTGAACGAATCATGTTGTAATAAGCAGGTGATGTTGCAACATTAAATGAAATTGCATTTTCGTAGAAGAATCTGCCTATATCCTTACACACTCTCTCCGCGCCTCTCTTGCATTTTCTGGGGCCATCTTCTGTGTAGTAGAAGGCCTATCCTCTGATGTGTCAACCATATAATGATCCATAGGCCCTCTAGCACCCCTAGATGAAATGGGCTTCATAGAAGAAGATGAATCCCTGACGCTGCGCTCACTCCCGTAGTAAGATCCAGCATCAACTCTATCCTCAAATTGCTTCTGTGCAAGATGTTTTGATGTGATAGACTTATTCATGTATGACTTTATCTCTTCCCTTACAGCATCAGGAACTTTGGAGCATGGAGCAACATTCTTGTGAGAGCCTGAAAGGTGTTCCTTCATCCTAGTCACACCACCTTTCACAACTTTATCACAGTAATTGCATTTCAGATAGACATATGTTTTATCACTTCCTCCTACATCCACCTGAGTGCTATATTTCCATGCTGGATCTTTTCTATGACCTGATGCAGCCTTATCCTTATTTTTGACCATCCTGATTGAGAGAAATTTTAGGAAGCAAACGAGTTCTTACTAATCTTTTATATGACCTGATGCAGGTCGGAGGAGACAGCAGCCTCGGAGGCTCGGACAGAAGCGTACGCTGGTCGGACGGAGAAGACAGCAACCCAACTCGCAGTCTCGCAGTAGAAGAAACCTCCAAGCAAATAAGTTTAGGGTTTAATATGCGGGCTGGATGTGTTCAGTATTATATAATGTCGAGCCGTCGATAAAGCAGAACACTGCGTACTCTATGCGTATGCGTATTTTTTGCGTATAAACTGCATATGTAATGCATATTTAAGACGTATATACTGTGTATGTATGACATATTATATGCGTATTCCATGCATATTTTGTAAAACTTCTTCTAAAGTATTTGTAAATTAGCAATTGGAGCAGCTGTAACTTAATGTATGATTTTGTATTAATATTTAATAAAATATATGATTTTCTGGTTATAGTATGAGTACTGGATGTGTCCAATATTATATTGTGCGTAATCTATGCGTATGCTGTGCGTAATATATGGACATACAATGCACACACCATGCGTACTCTGTGCGTAATATATGCATATTTTGTGTAGGGTTTAATATGCGTGCTGGATGTGTTCGGTATTATATAATGTCGAGCCGTCGATAAAGCAGAATACTGCGTATCCTTCCATTCATTACTGCGATACTTATCCTCTTCCCATGTTCCTGATGACCAGGTTTATGTACATGGGAGGAGGATAAGTATCCCAGTAATGAATGAAAGACTTGGTTGTCAAAGACCCTAAACCTTAAACTAAGCTCCGAAGTAAAAAATCAAACCTTCTATCAATCCTGCATTACTTCTGTTTGAAAAAATCATGTGTTACTATAAGGCTAGCGTTCCCGCATTATATAGTGGAAATTTTAATGTTGAACAATAGCAAGCAATAAATTGTAAATAACGGCTCATAAAAATTATACCAACCCTTCCAATCATATCTGACACCCGTCAGTCCACAACTAACCAAAATTATTATTCATGTCACGGCCTCTCAGTCTATACTAAATGTAAGTAACCTAAAACATTTAATAGAATGTGTGCGTGTTTTATGTGTATTCTATGCGTCTTATGTGCGTAATATATGCGTGTATTCTGCGTATTTAATGCATCATTTTGTGCGTTCGTTATGCGCAATTTTTAAAAACGTTTAAAAAACATTCTTAAAATTATTTCTTTATTTAAAATAAATAAGAAATTCAAACACTAATCTTTTAACGCAAATGCCAAACACAAAATCTTTCAAACATCATATTTCTTATTTCTCTTCCTTAAATACAATCCACCAAGAGTCATAAACCCTTTGTACTTGTTCAAATATCATATTCAAGATTAAAAATGAAATAATAAAAATCACATTGCGTCTAATTTATAATAACAAGTTTAAGTTCAGCGTGTTAAACATATTCCTCATCATTTAATGTAAGTAACGTAAAAACAAAGATAGATATTAATTAAAACATTTAATATAATTTGACAAATAAAATTTACTGCGTAATGTGTGCGTGTACTATGCATACTATGTGCGTCTTTTGTGCGTGCGTTATGCGTATTATTTAAAAACGTTATAAAACCATTTATAAAATTATTTTTTTCGTTAAAACAAATAAAAAATTCAAACACTAATATTTAAACGCAAATGTTAATCACAAAATCTTTCAAACATCATATTATGCGTATTCTATGCCTATTATCTTCTTACGATATGCGTAAAATATGCCTACACAATACGTACGATATGCGTAATTTATGCGTATTATCATTTAATAAGTTATTTTTTAATCAAATCAATGTAAATAATTAATAATATTTATACACATAATTGAAAAATATATTCTTCAGAAATAAACATTTACACACAGAATGATAATAAACATACACAGAATGATAATAAACATTTATACACAGAAACTGTTTAAACATTTATACACAGAAAT